TCAGCAAGGGTATACAAAACTTGAATAACACTATCAACCAAGTAGATCTCCCTGGCATCTACAGAACCCTCCACACGGCAACAAAAGAATACACAATCTTGCCATGCACACAGGTAACATTCTCCAGAACAGACCATATGCTAAGCCATAAAGCAAGTTTCAATAAATTTACAGTAACTGAAATCATACAAAGTATGTTCTTAGACCACAGTAAAATTAAATAAGAAAGCAACAATGGAAGGAAATTTGTAAAAATTGAAAAACACACTCCTAAACTAATGGCTCAAAGAAGAAATCCTAAGAGAAATTAGGATGACTGGGCACAAAGCCCGTGACACTCAACCAGGCCCCAATGACCTGTAGCTAGAAGCAAAAAAATCCTGACACTTCCCATTGATTTTAATCAAAATACTAAATTAAATCCATCAGGACCACATCTGCTGGGAGCAGATGCTCATTAGGATGAAAGTCAAAAAGATTAGACAGAACAGATAACTAATACCCTACATTACCCAGGCCCCTATCCCTCAGCGTTTTTCTTCCAGTAATTACCAGGAAGACGTCCAATGCCAGGGCTTCTCATTTCACTTATATGAGGTCTCAAGCATGCAGAAAAATATTATAGGCTTAAGAACATTTCGGCAGATACTCCCTACTTGAACTCAGGCAAAACATGGCACAGAAGGCAGAACAGAGTTATTATGAGTCAGGCAGACCTGGTTTAAAGTTCCAGGTCTGCCTCTCACTGCATTATATTGGACAAGTAATGTAACTTCTCTGAACCTCAGCTTTCTTCCCTACAGAATGGAAACACACTATCTACTTCATAGGGCTGTCATAATGTATGGGAAAGCACTTTGGACTGTACCTGGCCCATAGTAGGCAGTCATTAACTTCACTTCCTTCTCTGTTATAGACTGCTATTACTATACAGAGCTAGCTGTCTGCTAAAAAGTCAGCAGGGGGAGCGCCCCAGACTTTTGCGTGTTTCCCCAAAAATATACCGGTAAAGTTGCAGTAGCTTTAAATGTAGTTATACCTCTTTAAGTACAGGTTCAGAATTTGTGTTGCTGAAGAAGGGGCCTGGTGTGGGTTGATGGGTGACTGGAGGCCACCAGGAACCTACAGAATTGTGGAGAAGACAACAAGATAAGGCGGAAGAGATGAAGATTAACAGACTATCAAAACACTTCTCTGTAGCAGCTTCTGTTTTATATTACTGCTTTCAGGCTCTTGTGGGAGGAAGTGGGCAGAATGGATCTTAATTTTCTGCAAATCCATTTTTGTTGATGATTCTGAATGGCTTTGGCTAGGGTCCATTGAAAACTCATTTGCCACTGGTAATGCCTCCTGAAACTGCAGGTGTGTATATACTTTGTCCCTCCAGGTCTGCCAAATTTCCATGCTTCACCCCTACAAAAAGCCACTCACCATACATAGGTTTCTGCCTTATATTTGGAGCTAAGAACCAAACAGCAAGACTGAGGTACAGCAAGACTGAGGTACAGCCAACCACCTAAACTTTGAGCTACAGAAGAGCAGGGATCTTGTCTGTCTTATTCACTCTGGTAGCCTACAACAGTGCCTGGCACACAGTTGCAGAACAAACGTCTACTGAATCTAATTGTTCTGAGACCATCACAACCTCATTCCAATCATATAAGAGAAAGTGCCTTTCCAGGAAAATTGGGAGTGCTTACTGCTAAAACACTAATTTGTCTTCACTTCAAAAGCCATTATTACAGCAGCTCTATATTACATGATCACAAAATAAGTTTAATAAAAAGCAAAACATCTGTGTCCAGGAGGGCATGAAGGCTCGTGGAAAGGCCTATTATATAATAAGATTTTCCTTAGCAAGCACTACTGGGTCACAAAAAGCTATGTCTAGAAACCACTTAAAGTAGAGGAATTAGAACAAATAAGAAAACCCCTGAAGATCAGCCAAGTTCCCTGGGACCTCTTTCC